CCACTCAGCATCCACAGCAGCAACAGCAGCAACTGCAACATCAGCCGTTGCAGCACTCGCAGCGTGAGCACATGCCAGAGCAGCAGCAGCAGCAACCGCAGGAGCAGCAGCAGCAGCAGAAGCAGCAGCAGGAATCGCAGCTACTGCAGCAGCAGGCAGTAGAACAGCAGCAGCAACAGGCATTGGAGCAGCAGCAGCAGCAGCAGCAGACTGTGCAGCAGGAGCAGCAGCAGCCGCATCAACAACCTGAGCAGCAGCAAGGCCTACAGGAGCGCATGCAGCAGCAGCAATCGGAGTTGCAGCAGCCGCAGCAGCAGCAGCAGCAATCGCAACCGCTGCAGCAGCAACCACTGCAACAGCAGTCGCAGCAGCTGCAGCAGCCGCAGCAGCCGCAGCAGCCGCAGCAGCTGCAGCAGCTGCAGCAGCTGCAGCAGGAACGCCAGTCGCTGCTGCAGCCCCCAGAAGTGCTGCAGCAGCAGCCAGTGAAGCAGCAGCAGCAGAATCCGCAGCAGCAACAGCCACCGCAGCAGCAGCAGCCGCAGCAGCAAAAGCAGCCGCAGCAGCAGCAGGACCTGCACGAGCAGCAACAGCCGCAGCAACAAAAGCAGCCGCAGCAGCAACAGCCGCAGCAGCAAGCGCAGCCGCAGCAGCAAGCGCAGCCGCAGCAGCAGGAGCAGCCGCAGCAGCAGCAACAGCCGCAGCAGCAGGAGCAAACGCAGCAGCAGCAACAGCCAAGGCAGCAGGAGCAAACGCAGCAGCAGCAACAGCCAAAGCAGCAGCAACAGCCGCCGCAGCAGCAACAGCCGCAGCAGCAGCAACAGCCGCAGCAGCAGCAACAGCCGCAGCAGCAGCAACAGCCGCAGCAGCAGCAACAGCCCCAGCAGCAGCAACAGCCCCAGCAGCAGCAACAGCCCCAGCAGCAGCAACAGCCGCAGCAGCAGCAACAGCCGCAGCAGCAACAGCCGCAGCAGCAACAGAAGCCGCAGGAGCAACAGCAGCCGCAGGAGCAACAGCAGCCGCAGGAGCAACAGCTGCAGCAGCAGCAGCTGCAGCAGCAACAGCTGCAGCAGCAACAGCCGCAGCAGCAGCAGACTGTAGCACACACAGCGCAGCACCCGCCTGAAGAGCAGCAACCGCAGCAGCAGCAACCGCAGCAGCAGCAACCGCAGCAGCAGCAACCGCAGCAGCAGCACCCGCAGCAGCAGCAGCACCCGCAGCAGCAGCAGCAACCGCAGCAGCAGCAGCAGCCGCAGCAATCGACGCCGGAGCAGCAACCGCAGCGTGAGCAGCAACGGCCGCAGCAGCAATACCAGCAGCAGCTGCTGCTGCGGATGCAGCAGAAGCTGCTGCAACCGCAGCAGCAGCACCAGAAGCAGCAGCAGCAGCAACAGAAGCAGCAGAAGCAGCAGCAACACCCAAAGGAGCAGCCTCATGCGCACCAGCAGCAACACCAGCACCAGGAGCAGCAGCAGCAGCAGCAGCAACAGCAGCAGCAGCAGCAGAAGCAGCGGAGACGGGCCTTGCTGCAGCAGCATGCAGAGGAGCAGCAGCAACACAACCTTGAGGCCAGCAGCACGACTAGCAGCAGCAACAGCAGCAGGAACAGCAGCAGCAGCAGCACCAGCAGCAGGCGATCCAGTTGGTCGGATGCAGCACAAAGGCTGGAGCAGCAGCAGCAGCAAAAGCAGCAGCAGCAAAAGCAGCAGCAGCAGCAGCAGCAGCAGCAGCAGCAGCAGCAGCAGCTACAAAACTCTTTCAGGTTGGGGGCCGAGGCAATCAACACAACGCCCAGGCCTCGGTTGCAGGAGCTGCTGCAGCAGCAGCAGCAGCAACAGCAGCAGCAGCAGCAGCAGCAGCAGACTCCTCTCCAGTGGCAGCAGAACAACATGCAGCTGCAAATGAAGCAGCAACTGCAGCAACAGCAACTGCAGCAGCAGCAGCAGCAGCAAGACAAACACCATCAGCAGCAACAATCACACCGGCAGCAAGCGCCGCAAGCTCAGCAGCACAAGCAGCAGCAGCAGCAGCAGCAGCACAAGCAGCAGCAGCAGCAGCAGCAGCAGCAACCGCAGCAGCAGGTAGCTGCATTGCCTATGGATCACCAGGGAGGTGGCTCCGCAGCCAACAGCAGCAGCAGCAGCGAAAACAGCAACAGCAACAGCACCAGCAACAGCAGCAGCAACAGCAGCAGCAACAGCAGCAGCAGCAGCAGCAGCAGCAGCAGCGAAACCCCGTGCTTAGGGCTAAGCAGCAGCAAACCCAAAAGGAGCCGCTGGGGCAGCACTCGCCACGCAGCAGCGCCGCAGGGAGCTGCTGCTGGAGCACAGCAGCAGCAGCAGCAACAAAAGCAGCAGCAGCAGCAGCAACAAAAGCAGCAGCAGCAGCAACAGCAGCAGCAGCAACAGCAGCAGCAGCAGCAATGGGGAGAACTCACAGGCGGCACAGCTGCATTCAGCAGCAGCAAAGCGAAGGCACCACCACCACCGCCACCACTACCACGAGTTTCTGCTGCTGCTGCTGCATCCCATATGTCAGTTGGCGCTGCTCATAGAAAAGTATTTGCTGAAGCCCCTCGTGC